TAGCTATTTTTTAACACCACATATATGCTCCATAAAATCACTGTGTTATGCTAAATTGGGCAATACAAACCACAGGGCTTATGAGGAAAATGGGGCTCAGGGCACGACACAACTTTTTCAGTGACATGTTAGAAAAAAAAAGATAGAAACCTAATGTCAAAGGAAAAACTTAAGACAAATTAAATTTAGTAGAGTTTATTTCAGAAAAAAACAATTCATGAATTGAGCCACCCTCAGAATTTGACCTAAGGAATTGTACTAGGGGATGAGTGTTACCTTTTGGTGAGCAAGGGATTCGACTTGTTGCACAGGAGAGCTTAAGAGAGCGTCATGCAGCAATGTGGGCAGTCAGTATTTATAGAGAGTAAGGAAGGGAGGTATAACAATAGCCTGATTGGTGAGAATTTGGTAGTTTGCCTTATTTGACATGGTCTGGTCATTTGGCAGCCTGTGATTTACTGAAGCTCAGCTGTTATGATTGGCTGAGACTCAGCTATTTGTTACAAGAATGTACTTGTAAGTCAGGCTGCCTTTTGATACATATGGGCTCAAGATATGGAGACAGCTTTAGGCCACATTTAAAACATGAAAACAAGTAGACATCTTAATACTTAATAGCTAAAAAAAAAAAAAAAAGAAAAAAAGAAAAAAGAACATAAAATCCAAAAATAAATATGGCACTCCACCTTGAAAAAGACCTAGTGTTTTCCTGTGGAAGTGGGGTGGAAAGGGTCGCAACTTGTGAACTGCTGTGACGTGGCAGGAGCTGTTTATCAGGAATCCTAGGGAAAGCTGTAGTACCAGTTGTAGAGGCTATGGCTCATAACACGCATGTGCTTATCCTTGTTCTGCCTCAGTTATCTCATCTGTAAATAAAAATGATCATGGAATCCACCTTGTAGAGTTGTTATAATCATGGTTAAACTGAATGGTTCCAGGTGAATTGTATAGCACCGGGCCTGGCATATGGGTTTGGTGCTTTTATCCTGGGCATTTATCATTCCATGTTATGTTAAATTTGACTTAAAGAATTTTACTAGAGGACTGGGTGGGGTGGCTCACGCCTGTAATCCCAGCACTTTGGGAGGCCAAGATGGGTGGATGACTTGAAGTAAGGAGTTCAAGACCAGCCTGGCCAACATGGTGAAACCCTGCCTCTACTAAAAATACAAAAATTGACTGGGTATGGTGGTTGGCACTTGTAATTACAGCTACTCAGGAGGCTGAGGCAAGAGAATCACTGGAACACAGGAGATGGAGGTTGCAGTGAGTTGAGATCACACCACTGAGTGACAGAGTGAAACTCTCTCAAATAATTTTTTTTACTAGAGGATAAGTGTTACTTCTTGGTGAACAAGGAATTCAACTTGTTGCTCAGAGCCTAATAAAGGCTCACAAACCTACACGGTCATAATACCTATGCAGGGTCTCCTATTCCTGTTTCTCAAATAAGCCTGAGAGGGGAGGCTAAAGACCATTTCTTCCTGGGGAGGAGGCAGGGAGAAGAAATGCAGCCATGGCTCCCTAGACTCAGGGAAGAGATGAGGACCATAGGTAAGTGTTCCCAGCCCACCGAGAGAGTAGTCCTGTATTAGCCATGGCCTCCGTTCCAGCTGTTTCTGCACATGGTGCTGGAGTTTAGTCATATAAGCTCTCATCAGCTGTAATCCACTTCTTGGTGACTCTCCAAACTGAACCTGAATTCCAAAGGTTTCCCTATCAGTTATTACAGTTGGCCCCACCTGCCCTGAAACCCAGATAGGTAATTTCATCTTTCATCTGTCCTCCTTCCTAGGTGTCTGCAGACAACTGGCTAAGAACAGATATGAGAGGGCCAGGGCATGACTCACAGGATTTGGTTGGCTGAGCTAGAGAATAAAGGAGACTGGCTTGTGTTAGGAACATGAGAGTTGTTTGCAGGACACTCCTGAGGTATCAATGCAGGTGGCTGTGTGGGCTTCTCTGGTGTGGTTTACTTCCAGCTAAATCTCCTACAAGTTCCTGAGTCATATACTCCTGAGTCTGTCTGTTTCTTCTTCATGGGTTTCTACTCCCACCTGTGTGCTTGGAGGATAGAGTGCTGCCTCCTCCTTAGCCTCCATCCCCGGAATGCCTCCTTTTGCAGGACGTACCCCACTCTCTTTCCAAGAGTGACCTCAACCCTCACACCTCAATTGCCAACTTCTATCATCACTCCCAGTTCTGAAATCATCCCTTATACAGTTACAATAGCTCCTTAACACTCATTCTGCATGTCTCTGGGACCCTCCAGTTCTCTGATGATCGTATTTTATTGTACTTCCACCTCCTATCACCCAACTAAGAATAGAAGGGTGGTGCAGTTAAGAGCATGGGCTTTGGAGGCAGACAAATCTAGACTGGAATTCTGCCTTTTCTGTTTATAGGGGGAAAGATACTTTATTTCTCTAAGAATTAGCTTTCTTATCTGCAAAATGGGACTAGCAGTGCCTGCCTCCTTGGGGTTTCTGAGGATTAAATGAATAATGTCTGTGAAACACAGCATAGCATCTGACAGATTAAATACTCGATTAATGTAGCTGTTGTTATTATTAAGATGCGTAACTTCTTATCAACAGTGGCAGTGGCTTTACAGAGCCAAATCCACACAGTAGGAAATTTACAAATATTTATCCAATGAGTGGATTATCACTCATTAATGTTGAGTGTTCAGTCCGTATATTTTTAAATGGATGATGCATTCATTCTGTACACTTTTAGCAAACCATACTTATATTTGCCTTTTATTTTTTAATTTCAATAAATTTATGGGGTACAAGGACTGTTTTGTTACTTGCATAGATTGCGTAGTGGTGAAATCAACAATTTTATAAAGGATATCCATTACTTGAATAACTAACATTCTACTCATGAAATAATTTCTTATCACCCACTCCCTCACCCTTCTGAGTCTCCATTGCCTATCATTCCACATTCTACATCTATGTGTACTCATTATTTAGCTCCCACTTATAAGTAAGAACAGGTAATATTTGTCTTTCTGTGTCTGACTTGTTTCACTTAGATAATGATCTCCAGTTCCATCCATGATTCTGCAAAGACATGATTTCATTCTTTTTTATAGGTGAAAAGGATTCAATAGTGTGTGTATACACACACACACACACACACCCATCCCCGTATACATATGTGTGTGTTTATATATACGCACATATTTGTGTATATATTTACACACAACACATTTTCTTCATTCAGTTATCCATTGATTGACACTACATTGGTTCCATATTGCAGCACTTAGTGCTGTGATAAATATATGTATGTAAATTTTGAATATAATGATTTTTTTTCCTTTGGGTAGATGCCCAGCAGTGGGATTGCTGGATCAAATAATAGTTTTACATTCTTAGAAGTCATTTAATATGTGTCAGACTTGAGAAAGGAAAGAGGATATAAGAGTAAAGGGAATAGATAGTCATTGCCCCCTGGAGTTTCAAATCCAACAGAAGAAATATAATTCAGGGAATTTCACATTCTTGACATTTTTTCCCCCGTGCAGTTGTCTCCTGTTAGAATTTTGGCATAAATTTACTTAAAAATATATTTACATATAAATACACAGTATTTGAGCATATCAGGGAATAAAATATAGAACTTATCTAGCAAAATGTTTAAGGACATAGTCGAAATATTGATGAATTAATGGGCAAATGCCAAATGCCAAAGTCCTGAAATCAATTAGGCAGCATCGTTAAATGTCAGCTATCAGAATAATTCCACTCCTTGTGGCCTGGCTGATTTTCATGAGATTTGTGGTCTGTGGGATTATAAGGTTCGACTTAGAGGCTGTCTTATCATTTTGATTGGATTCCCCATTTAATGGAAAAGGTCTACTCACATTCAGTAAATATTAGTGAATGGTTTTAAGATGAAGGAATTAGCTTAATTTGTTGGATACACTTTAGACAGCAGTGTTTCTCAAAGTATGGAATTAGGGGGACTGCATCCAGTATTGGTTTTGATTTGTTTTATTTTTAACAGGTATCTCCAGTCAATTCTGCACAGGTAGTATACACAAAGTATAATTTGAGAAATATTGCTTTAGGAAAGGTAGCTGGATTTACTTTCTGAGAGACATTAAAATATGGTCAGAATGGTTGTGAAGAAGACACTAGGCACTTTGAATAAGTGTAAATTTGTACTGTGAAAATTACATCTAGGTGGAGAAATTACTTGGAAGCTTGAGTTGCAGTCTGGATTGCTCCACATTTACATTTTCGTATGACCCAGAAGGATGAAATCCATTTCCTCAAACTTTAAGCTTGATTAACTCAACCTTGGTTTACAAGTGCCTCCATAGAACTGTGTAGGTAGAAAATACTAAAAACAATGCTTTCAAGGGATTTTCTGTTGATTTGGGAGAATAAGCCATGTTCATAAGGCTTTTAAATATCAGCATGGGTTAGCAGATAATTAGTTGTTGATGAGAACCCTAGAAATAATCAATGTAATGGGAATTCAGAAGTAGGAGAGTTCTGGTCCAAATAGCAGGCTAATGGCAGGCTGTGTTGAAGATGAGGGACTGTCTGAGCTCTGTAAGAGATGAAAGGTGTATCTTGGAAGAGTGAGACTAGGGCATCCCTTGTGGGGACCACAGCACAAATTCTGTGGGAAAGCATTGGAGAGTGTTGGCTTGATGTTTCCATCAGACATTTGTTCTCAAAGGGAACATGACCATCAGAAAGCTTTTCAGAAATCTTCAGAATGATTTAGGTTGTCACAACTGGGGAAATACTACTATGATTTAATGGGTCGAGTCTGAAAGTTATAGGCATCCTACAAGGTGTGAAGTAGACACACAAAATGGTAAATTTTCCTGAGTTCTGGATGACTTTCAGATGTCCTGCCAGACATTCATGAGGTTGAAAACCTAAATATAATTATTTTATGTATAACCTGGACTATAGATTGATAGATATAGATAGATAATGCTTTATTATTATATTTTCCAGGACTGCAACTACAGAGGATAGGTTATAGTTGATTACCTTCAGAATTATACCAAGCATTGTTCACCATTTCAGAATATCATATCACCAATCGACGATGACAGTACCACTCTTGGAAATTTCATTTTGAGAACTGATTTAAGTTTGTGGCTGTCACACTCATGGTAATTCTATGCATGTATATATGATTGTCCTTAGTTCTTATTTCAAACTGTCAAATGGAAAGTGAAAGAATGAGCGATATTCTGTGAGTATTCTAACTTTTTTAAAATCCACAATGATGATATCTAAATGGATGCACAGATAAGTATGTCTTCTAGTGTGATCATGCCTGAGCACTTATATTTTAAAATGTTATTTCATTATAAATTAATTTCTATATTTCTCCTCTATCTTTTAATGAAGTCATTATGTTAATATTTTTCAAACTGTTGGTTATGTTGTCAAATATTCATAATAGAAAGCAGATGTAGGGCTGGATAAGCATGAAAACTCTGTATTAAGAAGTCAAATCTGAGAATTACAGGGACATATTTGCTTAAATTCACTGTAGTGGGAGCTGGGATGGGCATGGAGTGGAGTGAACCTTTGCTCAGTTTTACATCTTTCTCCCTAGTGCCAAGATAACTGATTTGTTCAAATACATCAATTTTTAGTAATTCATTTTAGCAAGATAAATAGGCTCTTATATGTTTTTTCAGTATTTAAATTATTTATCTGATATGGATGTTTATGGAATAATGGACTTGGCCAAGGAAATGGCTGTCATATGTCTTCTTTATCAGCATCTTCAGTGTATCAAAATGCTTTCCTTCTGTTTAAATACCAGAGCTGCAGAGGGGTCTCCGCTGAGAAGGATTATCTGAATAAGCCATTTTTGTGATAAGAACATACCCCAACAGCCTTTCCCCCACCTTCAGTTTATGTTCTTAAGCTCTACAGAGAACCTTCTCTTTTTTTCGTTTTACAAACTAAGCAATGCTTTTTCCCTGACAGATGGCTGAGGCTTGCCAGAACTCCATGCTTCTCCAGAAACTATCCCTCAGGCAACTCTGAGGTCCACTTAAACCAAACTCCAGCAAAAGGGAGAAATCTCCTGTTTCCTCAAAGGTATAGTGACATGGCAAGGCATGGGGATAACATCTCCAATAGCTGGGACTAGAAGTTGTTCATAATTATGGTGAGAGATGTGGTATCAGGATAAACCCTAAGCCTGGTTTCCCAATATCCAAGTATGGCGGATATATTGTTTTCTAACGAGTTGCTTTCACTTAGAAAACAAGTATATTTTATGTGTCACTTTAATAAACAAGAGAAAGAAGTCATAAAATCAATAGTGATCGGTTACAGAAACATGAGCTACATATTGCTGGTTAGGTGTTTAATAAAAAGATCATGTAGACCCAGGCTCAAAGAACCCCAAGTCATTGTTTGAGATGGGTTTCTATGCTGAGGGCTAAATAACCAGGAAACAGCAAATGTGGTCCTCATTTTGTGCGGAGATTGCAGCCAGATGCCATCTTTGCTGTTCTTGGACCTGACATACCCATTAAGGAAAGGTTGTTTAGACCACAAATAGTATGCTAGATAAATAAAGCTTATTTGTGGTAAGGATACAGCTTTGATTTGTCTAAAACAATAGCCATTTTTACCAAGAAAACGCTCTTTGTAATGGGATACACCCAAGAATTCTGATCCAAGAATCGTTTCAGGATGGTTACCTGCTGCTGAGTACATCACATAGACTGACTTTGTTTTGGATTATGGTCTTCTAGGAAATTGTTTTGGCATCAGGTAGATTCTGGCTAGAACTGTCAACTGGGCAATATTCAATAGTGTGGTCATGTTTAAGAGTTTGGGCTTTGCAGGCTAATAGATTTGGGTTTAAAACCCTCGGCTCTATTCATGAGCTAGGGGTATTCTGGGAAGTTACTATAAACGCAACAATGACAACATTGTGTTATGAACAATTTTAAACATAAACAGAATTAGAGAAAATAACTCAGTGGTCTCTGTGTACCTATCACTAGCTTCAAAAGTTGTCAATATTTGGAGCAAGTTACCTAACCATGTTCTCATCAGCAAAATGGGATTCATAATGATTCTAACATTCAAGAGTTCTTGGCTGCGCGCGGTGGCTCAAGCCTGTAATCCCAGCACTTTGGGAGGCCGAGGTGGGTGGATCACGAGGTCAAGAGATCGAGACCATTCTGGTCAACATAGTGAAACCCCGTCTCTACTAAAAATACAAAAAATTAGCTGGGCACGGTGGCGCGTGCCTGTAATCCCAGCTACTCGGGAGGCTGAGGCAGGAGAATTGCCTGAACCCAGGAGGCGGAGGTTGCAGTGAGCCGAGATCGCGCCATTGCACTCCAGCCTGGGTGAAAAGAGTGAAACTCCATCTCAAAAAAAAAAAAAAAGAGTTCTTGCAGAGATTATAAAAGCAATAGTATATATATATATATGACCTCTTAGCACAGAGGCTAATGTATAATAAATGCTCTCAAAAGTTTATTCCATTTTGAACTAGGAATACCTTAGCTTTAAAGAAGGATCATTGTGCTTTTACAGGCCTTCGGAGTTTCACAGAGAATATAGGCCCTTAGCATAAAATGATTAGATCTTATATTTAAAAAATAACCCCCCATATAATACAGGGATAGTCTGCTCTTAGCAAAATTTCCAAATGACCCTTGAAAGGCAAAAACTTCCCTAAAGATGATGCTGTCCTTGAAAAAAAAATCATTAAAATAAAACAAAAAGTTTGTGGCTAGAAAATCTTACCCCAAGTAAAGAATATCCTTTTTTGCTCAGGTCTGCAGGCCACCAGTGCTGTAGATGACCTCAGAGTGAACAGCAATCTTGCCATTTCCTTTTGGCTATTCTCAGAGGCCTTTATGGCAGCAAGGGAGAGCATTCTTTTGGTGCCAGAAATAGTTACTGCCTTTGGGTTAGACTGAGAAAGTTTTGCTGAGCTTCAGGATCCAGAGTGATTAATTTTCAGAAAACTCTCCAAGGCCTATTAGATGGGGCTCCTCTGCCAGGAGAGGTGTTGGGGAAGGCTAGTTTTCTAGGATGAAAACTGAGCTGCTTTGCCAAGCAGATCCACATAGAGGGTGCTGGGGGAGAAATGTAGTTTTATCCTTAATTTGTAGTGATTATTATGACCTTCAAAGAGTCCAAATAGGATATAGAATTTTAAAAATCCACAACTTGGGTTATTTATTTTGGAGCCAAAAGCAAGTTAATTTTAAAATGGGAGGAATACCGTGGAAGAAATACTTTCAGGTCTTGATCCTGTTACTTATACTGGTGTGTACTGATGTGAACTTGAACAAATTCCTTAGCCCATCCTAACTTCAGTTTCCTTGTCTACAAAATGGAGGTTAGAATAGTCTCCTCCGCCTGAGGTTTTTGCCAGGGAGAAAGAGAAAATACAGGTAAATACATGTACATTGCTTTTAAATACTAGAATAAGACTCATCATCATCATCGTTATCATTAGCTTTACTACTATTTTGGTGAGTTGATCAGTGATGCTACTGGATGAGAACCTTTTCTGAATGGCATTTCTCTTGCCGTTGGCTTGGACATAGGCAGGTAAACGCAACGTGGAAATGTTGATGCAGTAGTTATTTGTTTTTCTTGTACCAAATTGCAGAGAATCCATACATGTAAGTACTATGCACTAACCGATTGCGCAACTGGAGCTCCATGGAATCCATACATAAAGCATACCTCTTCGCTTCTCCTTGGCATCCAACCTGTTGGCTCTACATTTACTTTCAACGATGAGTCAAGACTGTACCTGGCAAGAAGGGAGTTCAAAATCAACAACAAAAGCTATTTATTTTGGTTTTGATCTTAGCCCTGGGCATTTTACTAAGTATTCAGAACTGATTTGTTTAATGAATGAATACATGAATGAATGGTACATTTCCATTGTCTATTCTGCTTCTTTTCCCTAGAGAACTGTGTTAGGCTGTGATTTCCTTGTTGTTTTTTTCTTATGTTTGTTTTAGCTGTACAACCCTAGATTAAACCACTAGTGCATTTATGTATTTCTCTCTTGTTTTATAACCCCCTAATTTCTTATTTTTGTTTAAACAGAAGTTAAATAGTAAAAACTTTGAAGTATTTAATTTTGTTTAATTAAAAATATTTAATAAACATTCATCTGAAAGAAGTATTGAATTTTAAAAAGCAACTTCAACAAGCCCTTTTTTAGAAGAGCACAATAATGGTTGAAGGGGGCACAATCTATGGTGAATGAATTTGAAAGTGTCATAGATTTAAAAGTGTTTTGAAGAGACTAGTATAGAAAAGCCCAAACAAGTATCTGGGATTTAAGGATATTACTTAGAAAACATGCTTTCTTGTATGATCGTTTCTTGAATGATTGTTTCTTACATTTGTCCTTTGTGGTTGGTTGGGCACCACTATACTGACTGTATTATAATGGGATTGCTTAACACAAAGTATGCTGAACAGATAATACTTTACAACTGTATTTTAAGGTATGCATTGTTAGATTTTTGAAATCATAAATTTAAAAATGAGGCTCAGAGAGGTGAAACATCTTGTCCAAATTTGCAACAGTGGAAAGTTACAAATCCAAGGTTTGTGTTCTGATTTAACAGACTCTGAATTCCAGGCTCTAAATTTGCTGTGGAGCAGAGTGATTTTCACTAGAAAAGTAAATTGTTTTTCCACATAGGCAGACTTCTCACACAGGTAAAGGACTTGTGAGATCTTTAACTTTACTTTGCCTTTACCTTACATTGGTCTAGTTGGTAAATAGTCCCCTGATTGCCCACTCTCCAAAGGTAATAGGCCAATTAAAGAAATCAGATTAGGACCTCAGCCTCATATTCTTGAGATTTCCTTTAGTGACAAATCAGAGATGATATATCCCTCTTATTAAGAGGAGGTAAGTTTTGCAACTATTCTGTTCGTTGAAACAAATAATAAAAAAGATAAATTGTAATATTTAGTAAAAATATTCATAGGCCACAATTCAAATTCGAGTCTCAGGAAGAGTAAATGGGAGGTAAAGAAAGGACAGTGAACTCCTGATTCATTTGGCAGTGAATAGGGAGGGAAAATAACGTTTGGGCTATAACCAGGAGGGAAGGATATTGAAAATAATACTAAGTGAAGGTTGGAGATTAAACATTCTGTTCCTCCAATGTCAGTGTTAGCCTACTCCCAACTTCTCCTCTCCCCTTTCACCAAATTACCTCTCACCATGGTTACCTCCACATTCCTAAATCCAGCAGACATTCATTAGTCTTCATCTTAGTTGGTGTCCAAGCATCACTGGTACTGTTGCCTACTGTTTCTTCCTTTCCCCTGACTTCTGAGCACAATTCTCTCTGTTTTTTGTCCTAGTGTTTCTTGTCCTTTTTAGGTTCTTCTTCTTTTACCATTAGCTATTATTGGAGGTCCTAGGCCCTCTCTTACTCTAATTTTTCTGCCTAGTGATCTCATCCACCCCTGTGGTGTCAGGTTGCATGTATACTCAAATGACTCATGATTTTATCTCCAGTCTTGATCTTGCCCTTAACTCCAGACCCATATGTCAACTGTCGACTTACCATCTTTTGAATGCCTTGAAGGTACCATGCACTCAGCATGTCCAAGACCGAGCTCATGATCTTCTCTCCAAGGCCTGGTCCTCTTCCAGGGTCTCTCTCACTGAATGCCACCACTGTTTTGTCTGCTTGCTCAAGCAGAAGCCAAACATCTAATCTCTCCCTTAACCCCCTTATTCATCACGAAACTCTACTGATTTCACCCACTAAATCTCTCTTTAATCCATCTACCTTTTTCTACCTCCTTGGCATCACCTTAGGCCAAGCCATCTTGGTATCTTTTCTGAACACTGCAGCTTACCTTCTGACTGATCTACTTGCAGTCACCCTGACCTCTCTACTGTCTTGTCTCTACCTTGCATTTTTCAAAATGTCAGCGGCATCATGTCACTCTCAAGCTTAGAATCTTTTCATTATTTTTCATTCTTCTTAGGACACGGTCAGAAATCTGTCCCATAGCTCACCAGGTGCTACATAGTCTAGGGCAGTGGTTCTCAAAATGTAGTCTTGGAACACATTAGCATCACCCAGTAGTGTGTTTTGAAATTCAGCATCTTATGTCTTATTTTGGTCTGCTGAATCAGAAACTCTGGGGAAGGGGACCAACAGATTTTGTTTTCACAAGCCCTCCAAGTGATTCTGATGTATATACTCAAGTCTGAAAACCACTGCTCTAGGCCCCACCTACCTTTCTGGCTATATCCAGCCTCTTGCTCTCACCCTTCTAGCCTCTCATAGCTTGCTTTCATTCCCTCATCTAGCATACGTTCCCTCCTACCACAGGGCCTTTGCACAGCTCTTCCTTTTTCCTGGAACACTTCTCCATCATCTCCTTCCTTGGTTAATGTCTGCTCCTCCCTCAGGTCTTAGCTCAATAAAGCTGCCTAGGACCAATTTCACCTAATGCTGTATGTTGCTCCTTTATAACACTTAAAGCAGCTGTATATTTGTCATTTTAGCATGGTTATTGATTAACATCTGTCTCCCCTGCTATACTATAAACTTCAAAAGAATTGAGATGGCATGTGTTTTTGCTTATTATTATCTGCACTATTTAGTTCTAGGATAGTAATAGTACATACTCAGATACTTGTTGAATGAATGAATGAATGAACTTTCCTATATAGTCTCTGCATACAGTTTGAGTGCAGGCATACAGGAATCCTCAAGGGCAGCTCATAAGGGGTCCCAGTCCCCTCATTTTTTTTTTTTTTTGAGATCGAGTTTCGCTCTTGTTACCCAGGCTGGAGTGCAATGGTGTTATCTCGGCTCACCGCAACCTCTGCCTCCTGGGTTCAGGCAATTCTCCTGCCTCAGCCTCCTGAATGGCTGGGATTACAGGCACGTGCCACCATGCCCAGCTAATTTTTTGTATTTTTAGTAGAGACGGGGTTTCACCATGTTGACCAGGATGGTCTTGATCTCTTGACCTCGTGATCCACCTGCCTTGGCCTCCCAAAGTGCTGGGATTACAGGTGTGAGCCACCGTGCCTGGCCCCCCTCATTTTATAAAATGAAGACACCTACCTCATAGACTGTTTGAGGCAATTATATGAGGTAATACATAAACAAAACCTAGCATAGGGCCAGGCACACAAGTCTTTCATAAATCTTAGCTCTGATCATTATTATTATTATATTCTATTGTTATTATTTCAGTTTGCATACTCTCCCTGAATCATAATGGTTGAGTGTGGTTGAAACCAAATAGTATAATTCTTGAAAAGTATGGACATTTTAAAATTATAAGATGAAAATAAATGGTTGTGCATTTCTTCCATTTTTAAAAAAATAATTATGTATCATTCAATGTATTTATCCCAGAAAGTTCTTGTTAGTCTTGTCACTGGTTTCTAATGCCATTCCTCTATTAATTCAGCAAATAGTTAGGGTATACCTGGATGTATTGTGCTGGGTTCTAGGGATGCAGTAGTGACCAAGATGGGCATGAATCCATATGGAGTTCAGTCAAGTACAGAAAAAGATATTAATAGTCCAGTGGGGAAATACTTCACCACAATGCCAGTGAAAATGATACAGACAAGTACAAGGTCCAATGTGTTTGTGAAACTGGAAGACCAATAGGCAAAGAGGAGAGTTTCTACCTTGAGGCCACCTTTGGCTCTCAGATAGAAGCTGTCTGACATAAAACAAACAAACCAGTTGATGTTCATGGCAGCATGTGATGCAAACCAGGTGAAGTCCATGCATTCCTCCCAAACTGAATCAAACTGGTCTCAGTATGTGTTCCTATGAACGAGGTTTCCATGAAAACAGCTAAAAGGGGAACACAGCTGAGAGCAGTGGCTCACACCTTGTATTAGTCCATCTTCATGCTGCTGATAAAGACATATCTGAGACTGGGTAATCTATAAAGAAAAAGAGGTTTAATGGACTTCTAGTTCCATCTGGCTGGGGAGGCCTCACAATCATGGCAGAAGGTGAAAGGCGCGTCTTACATGATGACAGGGAAGAGAGAAGTTAGGGAATGGGGGTTTCCCCTTATAAAACCATCAGATCATGTGAAACTTATTCACTACCATGAGAACATCACAGAATTATGGGAGCTACAATTCAAGATAAGATTTGGGTAGGGACACAACAAAACCATATCACGCCTGTAATCCCAGCACCTTGAGAAGCCAAGGTGAGTGGACTGCTGGAGCTCAGCGGTTTTGAGACCAGGTTGGGGAAAAAGAAACCCCATGTCTACAAAAACAATTAACTGGGCATGGTGGCGTGCACCTGTAGTCCCAGCTATTTGGGAGGCTGAGATGGCAGGATTGTTTGAGCCCAAGAGGTTGAGGCTGCAGTGAGCTATGGTTGTGCCACTGCACTGCAGCCTGGGTGACAAACGAGACTCTGTCTCAAAAAAAGAAAAAAAAAAAGACCAAGGAAGTGGGGAGGAATATAAGGGAAAAGCCAGGTGGGAAGCCTGCATTGTTAAGATGCCTCTTAACTGCTTTCTATGCACACTTAGAATTTGAAAACGATTCCTTTCTAGGCCCTCTGCCTGATTTCCCTTTGGCTGGCTCTGATTTCTTTACCACACTGAACACCTGGGGCCAAGGCTGTTTTTCATAGCAGTTTGAAAGCAATCCTTTCTTTCTTTTTACTCAGTTTGATCCAGGCCTTAATCTTTGAACAGCATCAAATATTCTTTGCCATTTGATAAAGCTGGGGTTGGAGGAATCCAGAGTTTTTAAAAGCAGGTCTTGCTTTACCATTGGTGATCCAGTGAGTCTTTCAGCAAGACTGACTCTAAATCATCCAGGCTCAATTAGTTTATTTCAAAGAAATACCCAGGTGTTGTTTGACCTTCAAACGTATGGACTGCTGAAGTAAATGAAGGTCTTGCCGGTTCCCATAATGCTGAGGGAACTAGATGGGGCAATTCTTTTTCATATTCTCTGAGTTTTGAGGAGGGATTATTAGGTTTGGGCTAAGTGAATTCTTTGCTTTGGTAATATGCTCAGCAGTGGGCTGCAGTGGCCTTTGCTGAGGGAACAACCAGATGTGAGCTGTCACTAAGCACCACTAAAATAGGGAGAGGTATGTTGAAAAACTGGGCCACTGGGGCT